TGTCCTATTGTGATAAAAGCTACAGTGGGATTCTGTGGTTATATATTAAAGATTTGTGATATGCCTCTTGCAATGATATATTGTGACTGCAAAATGTGGTCAAAATGAAACTTGGTTTTGTCTAAAGAATAACACACTTTATTAATCTTTATTGAAACAAAACAGAATTGTGAAGTAGCAGGAACAACATTCAGAATAGGCTTTATCCTTATATATTGAACCGAATGCTCTTAGAGAACAAAATGACAGAAATGACTGTTGTAAGTCACTGTGATGAGTCTCGCCTCAGGGCGGCTATCACTGTATTCTAGTGGTGTTCCTGATTCCTGTGTCAGTGAGGGAACCCCTGGAGGTTTCATACATGTTATAATAGTAATAATTAAATTATACAGTATTGGTAATTGGGACACTGCATATACTATTTTTAAACCCAAAATATCCCTATTATATATTATACTGTACTGATCCCCCCCACCCCTGCAGAGAATGTTACGATGAGTGATACTGTCCAAGTTTAACACGGTGACACATGCAGTCTGGTAGACTGGTGTTTATTGCTAAGTTATCTCGTATGCATGGCTGTATTATTGTATTGCCTACACTTTGCCTCCACACACACAAACACATTCACCATCTTCATCCTTCTGCCAGGCAGGCTGTTCTCAGCTCCTACCTGGAGCCCCGCTGGCGCTCAGTGAAAGAGAATAAGGCTGCGGTTGCTGCAGTGCTATTGTGCGGCGCTGTCTCCGCTGACCCCGCTGGGCCTGCTGGGGTAAAGCCCCAGACTGACAGAAGCCACCAATTAGCCAGGCAGGGTGCGAGAGTGAGTCAACCGAGAGACGAGATCAGCCGGGAGGCCATCAATCTTTCAGTGCCCCCCCTCCTCCCACCACCCACCACCAGCACCATCCAGCTTTCCAAATCCTCCACCGTTCTCCTTCTTACCCGCTGAGAAGGGTAGGAGGAAGAGGAGGCAGGTGGCATTTTCAGTGCGTCAGACTCAACGTGAGCACGCCGAGCAGAGAACAATGCGGTTACACTCGCATAGTCAAGTACAGCCTGTCTACTTCAGTGATATTGAGTGTCAGTAAAAGGCAGCAAAGAACTGTGACTATTAGAGCTGCACTCTTAAAGACGCTACAAATGTTTTTCTGAGTGATATATATATATATATATATGTGTGTGTGTGTGTGTGTGTGTGTGTGTGTGTGTGTGTGCATGAGGCTTGTTCACTCAGGAGTCCCGCATGATGGCGGTCATTGCAGGTAAACAGCCAACAGGTTGCAGGCTTGTGTGGGGGGTGAGGGTGGGGGGGGTAGTATTATGGCTGGCTGGGTTTGGACAATTATTGGCTACTTGTAGAAGCGGACGAGCATGAAACAACTACACTGCAAGTGTGCTGCAGAGAAAAACACAGTAATTATCACAAGTTGCAAAACAAGGAGTCGGCAACCCAAATGTTAAGAAGAACCATTTCAGTAAAAATCAAACCACCCTGGGAGCCACACAACATTTTATTTCCATTTTACTATCATTGCTGTAAATATGTCTCAGTATGTGTTAATGTATAGGCTAACAAATTTAATATAAACAAAAACGCAGACTTACTTTGCTCTGCTTTAAGCTTTAGTTCTGCTATAGCCGCTTTTCTCGCATCTCCGGCAGGAAACTTTTCCAAAAGTCGAATAGTTTCTTGCAAAATGTCTTTCAATGTTCAACTTTTCATGAGGCTGAAGTTGCTTCTCATTTGCCAGCTTCTTGTTCGAGCAGGCACCATTTAAGGTGAAACGGGGAAATTCGAATGAGAAGCTGACGTCAGCTTCATGACTTTTTAGTTGTTTGACAGTTTCTTGTTGCAGAATAAATGTATCAGGAAACCAGCTGGAGTGATTATAAATGTAAATGAGTCCATTCGTTTCTAAATTATCTAAATCTATGTAAAAATTGTTCATCTTAAATCTTTCTCTTTGCTACTGGCTAGGCGAGACTGTTGTCTGCATTGCTATGGTGACCAGCAGTCTGTGCGCCGATCTTCAGGGTTAAAGGGTGAATTAGCAGGTATACATTAACTCCAGCGTTTATAGCCTAACCAGGAAAAGTTGTCCCTTTTATTCGAAAGCGAAATACAATGTTATTCATATATTAATATGAGATGCTAACTGAACCTTATGATAAGTATTAGCATTATTATAGCTGCCGCATGGTTGACTACAAATTATTGTTAATGTGTGCTGTTGAATACTTGCATATCTCTGCTGTTGGAACAAAACCTTTTATCTCCATTTTCATCATTTTTTTATATAATTTGAAATGCCTGCTCTTTACCGTGTACGTAAATTAGTTCTAGTCACGCCACTGAGAGAAAACTACAGTCCTTTATATGGAAAGAAATAGCCAATCACAGTAAACATCATTTAAAAGGCCAATCACTATCCCTGAAAAACACAACCATTTATGCTTGATTCAAATTATGAACAGCTTATGCCAATACGGTTCAAAAACAGCTGCCTCAAAATGGAGTCATTATGTATAACAATATAAAAAAATGAGTCTGGCCTCGAAAATATTCAGATAACAACACAGAGTACATCACATAATTATACACTGATTATTTCAAATGGGATGGAAAGGCAAGATGGTGGTTTTCTAAGAGGATTTTTTTTTAATAAAATGGCGATGACCTCCTCTTGTATATGCTTGCTCTGGTAATAAACATGTACTGATGCAAAACAACATATACTTTCAAAGGTTCTAAAAATGGTTCTCTGAAATAATACCATAAATGTTATCTCATACAGATCCCTAAAGAACCTTTCAATTGACAGTTCTTTAATTTCTTTTTAATTTTACTAGTATGAGGAACCTTTTTAAAGATTAACTCCACCCTAAGACCATTTTATTTTCATTAATATCTGAAATGCACAGCTCTGTAATAATAAAATACACCAGCCTTGCCTAAAATATGAAACATCTTTCCAAACTGTAAAAATATTATTTTTATCGTGGTCAGCTCTGCCTCTGCAGTGCCCCCTCTGGTTCAACTCTGCCATAGGCGCGGATGACGTGTCTTCGTACAATGGCATGTCACAGTATGTGAATCGGTCAACCAGCGTTACTGCCCCATGATGACGCCCTACTTGTGCCGCACTAATAAATATGAAAGCACAGGAGCCGAGAGCGAGGAGAGAACCACACTCACACGCTGAGCTAAACACCCCCAGGACCACCTCACAAGGCTGCGATATGCCAGTCTGTACAAACTGTAAATAACCCAGTTCACCTGAGCTCAGTTTGTAATAAAGATGCTGGACCGATTAAGTGAGGATTCTTGCGAGTCTCCATAAAGCTGCCGGTTTTGCGTCCAATTCATGTTTTCCTTTACAACTCGGATCCTCGGGCGCGACTCACAGAACACAAATCAACAGCAAGCAACACTGGAACTACGGAAAGTGAAACAGTTCAGGAAAGTTAACGTTAAATGGCCATTGTCACTGACTGTGACAGCCTTTCTCTAACTTTTTTTTCCCGCCTTCTGTAGTTCCAGTGTTGCTTGCCGTCGATTTCTGTTTAGTGAGTGCGTGACTGAGCGTTCGATTTATGAAGGAAAGGTGAATTTGAGTGGGAACCGAATCGGATGTAACACCGGTAAGTGCCATGAACAGCTCGCAGAACGTAAGAATTTAGGGCCACTGCAGCAAACCCTGGCTGACCGGTGATGCAGTCTGCGACCTTGATGTCTGACTGAATGAAACTTAGACAGAGTTCAAAAAATCCACTTTATTAATTCAGAATTCAGCGCATCTAAAAAATTAGGACACAGGTTATATCGAATATGGACCTGTTGAACAGATGATTAGAAGCTGTCACAGTTTTGGGGAATGTTCCACCGTTCGGACGCCTCTGTCGCTCTCTGCTAATCATTTTCTGGGGCTCTTCGGCCACTTGAGTCAGTGCCTCACACTGTTAAGTCTCAAGACACACTGCCTGATCAGAAACACCTTCCCTTGTCGAAGATGGGGATGGTAGTGGAGAAAAATCGCCAACCTCATAAAACCTCTTTGCAAAAGTGCCGTTTGATTCTGTCACTCTGCATATTTTCTGGTAGCTAACGTACGCTAGCTCTAAAACACAGCAGCCCAGCCCAGCCCACCCGGTTACCCTCGCAGTCCCACCTCCAAACCCGTAGATCACTGCAGTGGCCCTCCCAACGTGGCCCTCCCATTTTTGAGCATTTTTCAAAGTTGAGCCAGGGGTGGAGTGAGCTGAAAATAGTGGGGTGTAGTTTCTCTTCAAAGGTTAAAGAATCCCCACATAATGTAAATCTTCAATACTAATCGATGTTTTTTCTTAGAACTGCACATCCAAACCAAAAACCCCTGAGGAGCCCTTAATTGTAGGAGTTTAGTTCAAGTGTGGTGTAAAATTGGTTGGAGTGAGTCTGACAGATCCTGCACATCCTACAAGTGAAAGAAGGACAATGTAGCAGGCACCTGGAAATCTAGGCTAAATCAAACGCAGCTTAAGACAAACAATAACAGGATGCCAGCAACAATAATATTTGCCAGCAGCAGTTGTTTTGATGGCTGCCATCCTACCTGGCACCGTACCCGAATAGATTCCGTATGAAACTGGCTTGTTCGTAGAGAGCGGCATTGAGGCTGACAGCATTAATGTAACTTTTTGATAATGTTTGATTTATTAAAAAGTGCTGGGGAAGTTGGCCGTACTTTGAAGGTGTGATAGATTGGATCTGTCAGTCATTGAGTTTGCAGTTGGGGAAGTGACGGAGCTGAGACAGCTGGTGGCTGTATTATTCATACAGGGCTGCAGATGACGGGAAAAAACATTGTGGAGCTCAGGGGTGGGACACACACCTGGCGGCTGTCACAGATCAGAGACCTCGATTTTATGCTATTCCCTAACACGCGCGCACACACACTTTGTTTATATGGACAAGCAATATCATCTTCCAGTCCATCCAGCCCGTTTATATAACTTACCGCATGCAGTGGATTGCCTTGATCAATCGGGACTTTGAAATCCGCTTGGAGCTCATCAAAGGCTGTTATCTGGAGACAACAGAACAAGAAAAGATCATTAGAGTGTGTTTCTCATGTTTGACTAACAAAGTTCTTACTAAATGTTCCTGTTTTTTTCCACTGTTTCCATCCTTAGTTCTCTTGCCTTAAACTAGTGCAGGGTCTCAATATTTCAGTGGTGTCAACACAGAGTGCATTTCTTGGATAAACTAGGCCAGGAATGACAAAGTGCTATGCAAGTACAGGCTAGAGGGGTATAAAGCCCCCCATCATTATTTTCTGGAGTCATGGAGCTCCATACAATACCTTTGGGATGAGTTGGAGTGGAGTTTGTGATCCAGAACTGATCATCCAACATCAGTGCCTGACATCACTAATGCTCTTGTGGCTGAATGCAATCAAATCCTCACAGCAATGTCCACACATATAGTGTAAAGCCTTAACAGAGGAGTGGAGTCTGTTGTTCCCCCCTTACTATGAAGCAAGGTGGGACAAACTCTGTATTACTGGTGAGCGTTAGATCTAGCCTTCAATTAGGACCATAAACAACAAAACTCGATCAAAAACAAAGAGGGGGGAAAACACCTTTACAGTAATGCTAATTTCTGCTACCCCCCTATGGGTTTCTAGTGGTATGTTAGCATTCATATGATATATATTTTTGTCATTCTAGATTAAATGTAGGCATTCAGTGTTCATTTTTAAATTCAGTAACATGCATACTAACACATATTTTACCCTGTAGCAGTGTTACAGTGAAAGTTAATAGTCTTAGCATAGAGCTGCTGCTAATTTCCATTTAAAACAATGGACTGAAATGGACTGGTCAAGCTACCACTCATACTCATAGACAGTGACGTAACTAGGACTTTCCTCACAAAATGGGCCCTGCCCTTTGGAAAATGTTATTGGTTTATTCGACTGTCCCTACTTGTTAGTGGTTAATCTGACGTGAGGTTTTCAGTTCAGCTCTTGAAGCCCTAACCAGTGGGAGTGTTAGCTTGGCTGAATTTGATTAGACAATTTTCTATTGAGCATTAAGCATTCAAACCCTGTTCTACTAACCAAAACTTGACAATGAAATAAGAGTAACAACAACAATACTTGTAGAGTTTAATTGCAACAAACTTGGGTGATTAAGGAACTTTGGACATTATCTATCTATCTATCTATCTATCTATCTATCTATCTATCTATCCATCCATCCATCCATCCATCCATCCATCCATCCATCCATCCATCCATCCATCCATCCATCCATCCATCCATCCATCCATCCATCCATCCATCCATCCATCCATCCATCCATCCATCCATCCATATGTAAAATATCGCTGCTGCCAGTAGAACACCTTATAGGGAGCAGTCGCGGGCTGGTTAGAACTCTGAATGACTTTGTTTACACCTCAACAATGTAATTACGAGGTTAGGGAACCAGCCTTGTGACCTGAAGGTCGCCGGTTCGATCCCCTGAGTCACATTATGTGACTGAAGTGCCCTTGAGCAAGGCACCTAACCCCCAACTGCTACTGGGCGCCGCCGGATAGGGCTGCCCACTGCTCTGGGAAAGCATGCTCACTGCCCCCTAGTGTGTGTGATCACTAGTGTGTATGTGGTGTTTCACTGCACAGATGGGTTAGATTGCAGAGGTGAAATTTCCCTGTTGTGGAACAAATAAGGGTCAGTTAATAATAATTAACATTTTTGTCGTTTTTCAGTTTTTGACATAATTTGAATTTGCCTGTTGCCCTTTACATTTATATATATATATATATATATATATATATATATATATATATATATATATATATATATATACGTTTTCTCTGTACTTTGACCTTCAGTAATCTACCTAATCCCCTCGCTTTTGTGCTAATGTTCAGAACCCCTTAAACTGTAAGTGTTGGTGTTTACCTCCTATTTCCAAATGTTCAGTTTTCTGTATCTCTTTTCAAATGTCAGTGTTTAGCTGAGCTGTTCCTCTATTTCAGATCAAATTATGGAAAGCTTGACTGCGACATCAATTAAGAAATGAACTGTGTTGCATTCTAGACACTGGTGTTTATTTAGTGCTTCAGTCAAGATTACCTGAATATGTTCTCAAACAGGGGAACATCTCAACTAAACACTGTGACTGAGATTAAAAACTCAACTAAATAAATGTCTCTTGGTGAGGGATAAGCTTGTCATGTAAAGAGTGTTATGTAACCAATTACTGTGCATTTTTTTTTTGTTGTGGTTACATTTAACAGAGTTTCATGTGTCATTGTGATACCAGTGTGTAGTGCTAATGCTAGACTCACTCGTATATGTATTACAACATTAAAAAACACTTTATCAGCTGCATTAGGGCAAAGTATTGCGTCAAAGGCAAACTGCTACATCAAAGCAGAGCCTCTGCAGGAGGAAAGCCAGCTTATGCCAAAGCTAGACAAAATTAGCAGAGGTTATTTTCCCACTTTCTCTGAAGGGTCCATTCCTTCAGTTGCATTGACATTCTGTCAGTTCTTTATTAGCCACCGGCCACATATACGGTAGGTAAACAGAGTTTGGAATTGGCACTGGACAGATTGGAACAGATGACGAAGCGGAAGTAACGAAAGATTTTTTTTCTTGATAGGGATCTCAATTATGGCTTATAATGGTTGCTTAGTTTGCTACAATTCTTCTTCTTCTCGTTATTATTATTATTATTATTATTATTTTTATTATTATTATTATTACTATTATTATATTAAGCAATTCTGCCAGGATCTGCGTAATATTTCGTGTCCTTTTTCCATACAACATAGCATAAGACATGCATTCCTGTGTGCCATGGTAATGCGCATGTGGCTTAAAATGTACAGCACAGTCTGCATTATTCATATCTGCCCACTTTTTTAATAATTGCATGCACCATTCACATCTCAAAAAAGGAAATCGGCGCTGGTGCAAAAAACACAACTGACACTTAAATAATTGAACAGCTCTCTTTAAATGTTAACAAGGGCTGAAAACCACTTGAATTGGGTTCAATTATTCCGTCTCTGTTCTCAACCCATGCCTTGAACTGCCAACAACACATGCAGGCCTTAATCAAAACAAAATCGTAATGAAATCTTTCCAGTGCTGCTTGTGCATGCATGACACAGTCAATGTGGTTCTTTATGCTCCGTAAATGGAGGAAAGAACCATAGACCAAACACCATGTGCAGTAATAAAATGGAGTATCAACAAGGAATCTAAGCACTATCCAACAGTTTAGAAACTTTTTTGTCTTTATTCCTGGTCCTAGACTGCTGCCATGTTCTGTAAAGTAAAATGCCATCAGAACTGACTAGAACACCCTTCAGGACATTCCTAGCAAAAGCCTAACTTTGCTGCTAATACAAGTTTTGTAATACAGAACAGAATCGCTCTATGCCGTATGACATGCCGGACCTTCTTTTTGAGCCTTTGCATGTGACATTGATATGTGAAGACGTATGACATGGTCCGAAAAGCTTGTGCAAAATCCAACCAGATTCCTCTGACTTTGAAATGATTACTTCAGGCTTTACAGGGCGACTCGCAGCAGTGCACGCTCACCATATTTTAGTAGTCCTTTTTCTCCTGATTTCATAACTTTTGCTACTTTTGCAATTTTAGCAAAAACACTGCTGTGTTAGAGGAGACACACAATTTATGCACAAGTCAGTGAGCTTTAGTGGACCCAGCCATGCCGTAATAACTTCTATTAGTCTTCAGAAACTGCTATAAAGCTAATATGCAAGTTATGAAGTTACTAAAACAGGGCTGTCCAAAGTGGGGCCTAGGGATACACAGACAAGAGAAGATTGGTGTGAGGAATTGAGCTGTTTTATCTTTTTGGCACACTACAAACATTATACTTTGGTCCCATATGTTTTTGCACCCTGTATTAGATCAAAGAAAGAAAGCAGGCCTGCACACATACCCTTAGAATTAGGGTTTAACCCTTGTGTGGTGTTCAGGTCTGTGGGACCCATTTTCAGTGTTTACCAAAAGAAAAAACAATGTGATTTATTATAATTTCAACCTCAGATTCTTGGTCTTTGCTCATTTTCTGTGAAGAACATATAAAATAACCCATTTTCAGTGTCTTCACTCTGTTCACCCCCCACACATTCATATTACACATGTGGTGTTGGGTGAACCTGCGGGGAGTAAAAGTGTGGAGGTGCTGTGTCCTTCACTCTGTTCTCCTCCTACATGGCCTGCTGTTAGTGTGTGTGTGTGTGTGTGTGTGTGTGTGTATGTGTGTGCGCGTGGACAACATGGACAGGCTGCTGACTGGCTACAGCTGCTAAAGGAGAACCCTACGCTGGACAGTTGTAATATTTTAAAATCTGGTATTTTTCCATAAACTGTTATGGCTGTATTGATTTAAAAAACAATAATGTGGTGGGTCCAGCAGACCTCTGAGTAACAAACACATCGACACCACACAAGGGTTAATTCACACAATGCTGCGCTCTTTTTAGATTTTAGTTAGTAGAGTTCGTCAATCATTTGATGGGAACAATATTAAAAAACATCATGTATATAATAGAAAACAATCTGACTATAATAAAGACAGGTAAAATCCAATCTACGCTGTTCCATGTTAGCCTTATAGAGAACTGGACTGCCCTGAATTTGCTGCAATAATAGATGGCACACTGCTACTCCCTGCTGCAGATTCTACAAATAAAACCAGCAGGCCCAACCTTATCTGTCATTTAACACCTGATTCAGGTGTCATCAGCTCTCCCTCCCACCAGTTACCCTCATAAACTGGCTCTGGGTCATCTCTCTCTTTCCTCTAGCACCACTTTTTTGTGCTAGCATCAGCTCTTTTCGGCCTTAACTCAGTAATCAGATCAAATCCTTAGCTCATATTCTCAACAAAAATCCAGTCTCACTGAAAAACAATCGCAAATAAGACTTCTCCCTGGTGCCACTAGCCTTCAAGCGACATTTTCTTCCAAAAATTTTAATGCTGCTGGAAATTACTGAACGCAAAGCGGGGATTCCTTCACATTATGTTA